TAAGTTGATAATTAAACGCAGAAGAAAACAGCCTTCAGTCCGACGGCCAGTCCGCGAGTTTAATCTTCTCTTGCAATTCGTTTGTTATGTCAGATGTCTTTTGACAGAGCTACAATTTTTCAACACGCCAAAGTGGCTATTAGGAGCGACTGTGTTACCCGCCACGGGTGAAATCCACCCGCATTTGGCGGGTTGGTGGGTGTTAATGTCAAGCCCTGCCTATATATAGTAACAGTTTCAGAATACAATAGCAAACACACGGTGATTTGGATGTTTGGTGAAGTGCCGCTGCAGTTTTGATGGCTTCATTGCTTCATTGGAGAGTTTTTCACCACAAATTACACACAACGGATTTGACGCCACGGAATCGCCTGTTGTCGTGAATCCATACCTGAGGTATCATATTTACAATTGAAGCTTGACTTTTTCTCTATATTTCAAGTTGGCCATCGCCTTTCCTTTTACCGGAACTGTCTGCAATGAAATTTGCCATTAAAGTCTGCTGAGCCCTTTCATCTCTCCGGATACTTCTGTCACTTCAGCTGCACGCACCCATGCACGCACCGCGCTCAGTCTGTTTAGATATAACGCGTTGCTAAGCAATCGGAAGGCGCTCAAAGAAATACGTTTTAATATTTTTATTTATCTGTATTCATTTATTGTTTGTGTTTTGGATTAAATAACATGACACGTTAAAAAGCATCTTAAAAAGACAAATATTATTATGGGGGAAAAAAAAATTCTGTGAATATTTCAAGGCCCGGTACTAACGTGTTCACGGACCGGTACCGGTCCACGGACCGGATTGGGAATCACTGATCTAGGTGCCTCAAGTCCGCAGATGTCATAGCGATAAACAGCAAGTTGCCATGTAGAAAACCTTGATCATGTCCCAGACAAAGTCAACAATCACCAGGTGACCTGGGGAGTCGGGGAAGGGACGCGAGAGCGGCTTACTGCAGTGCTCTTCCGGGGGAGTTGTTGTTCCAACAGCGGCCTTGGTCAAGGCCAGTGCTAGTTCGGGGCGGCCGAAAGCAGATAAAGGCGGGCATACACTGTGCGATGTCTGTGTGATTTCAGCAAGGTACCTACTCACACTGAACGAGTAAATCGCATGCGATGCAAAGCCAAAGTTCAGGATTTATGTGCTCACACTGTACGGTCCGATCGTCGAGCTGCGACTTCACTGCTCACACTATACGTGTAATATCTGCGATAACCCCCTGGATTGCGCCTATTTACATGTATGTATCCAGGGATATTGTCAAAACAAGCATCTGCTAGTATCAAGATGATTTAGCATTTTCAATTTATACATTTAATTATTATTGGTATTATTGTATTATCATTATTAGGGGAGGCCTATAGGCTAATTTTATTATTAAATTGAGCCGCTATTATAATTAATTTGCCACGCAATATTTTCACAGCACATAACCAACGTGTAATAAAATATTACATAATCTTACTCCTCATTAAAAATTGTCTAAAACATTTAGGTCGATTACAATGAATTATAGGCATATAAAATAACTATTAACAGTCTATAATATGTCCGAACATTGACATAATTAATCATCAATGAAAATTAAAAACAGGTTTATTTCAAAAACATTGTTTGACAAATTAATAAAAGAGGTGTTACATCGCAGGTGGCTTGAAGACGGTGGGTAATATTATCCATTTTGCAACACGAACTGGAGGTAAGCAACAGTAATTTGTAGCTAGTTTGAACCACAGAACTTAAAGATCTCCCTCTTTTCCTTTTTATTTTAATTTTTTTTTGGCTGCAGATGAAATGGTTAAACTTCTGTTTTCGCGCAGGTGCAGTGAGGGAAAAAACACTGAGTTTAGGGCAATCGGTTCGTAGCTTTGCTTCAACTGTGCGATATAGTCACGAGGAGCGACCAAAATTTCTGACATGCCAGAAATTCATCCGACCATCCGATTGTCGATCGTGAGAGGTTAATCGCCTCTCGTTTCTCCCTGTACACTGCACGAACACTGCACGACAAACGACGCACGACAAAGCTGAAAATCGGTCCGACAGGAAAAAGAGTCGCACGAGTCAGAATTCGGCTCAAAATCGGACGAAAATCGCACAGTGTATGCCCGCCTTAAGATTGGGATTGTTTGGTCTTGGGGCGAAAAGCCGCATTCACTGCGCTGCTGGCATTCACATTCGCTGCTGGCCATATCAGATGGAAGTGAATCCCTTCATTATTAAATGGTATGGTTCTTTCCTGACAGAAAGGAAGCAGCAGGTGAGAGTTAACTTCACCCTTTATGATATGATTAACATAAGTACAGGTGCCCCGCAAGGCTGTGTAAGTTCGCCCTTACTTTTTATATACAAATGAGTGCAGAAATAATGATGAGAGGAATAATTTTATTATTAAATTTTCAGATGATACGGCCATCCTTAGTTTACTTTACAAAAATTCAGATATTGGTATGTATACACAGGAGATAGAGGAGATGGTGAAGTGGTGCAATAAGCATAACCTGCTCCTTAATGTTAATAAAACCAAGGAAATGATTTTTGACCCTAGGTCTATAGGCGACCTGAGCCCTATTCTAATTGAAGGAGTTCCGATTGAACAAGTAACATCGTATAAATATTTAGGAATTCAATTAGATAAACAGTTACAATGGTCTCATCAAGTGGAATATGTTTCCTCAAAAATATGTCAGCGTCTTCACTTTCTAAGAGTGCATGGAGTGGACAAGGATATTATGCTACTGTTTTATAAGGCAGCTATTGAGTCTATTGTTCGATATGGTATGGTAGTTTGGTTTGGTAACCTGTCAGTTAAATTAAAATCATCACTCCAAACATTGATTAAAAGGGCAGGGAAAATAATTGGGCAAGTGCAATCGACTACTCTTAATGAGCTTTTTGTGGAGGCGGTAAAGAAACATAGTTTTAAAATCATTAACGATCCGAATCATGTCCTATGCAGTGAGTATGAGATGATGCCCTCAGGCAGAAGGTACAGGTTACCAAACTGCAGATTAAATAGGTTTAAATTTTCATTAGTACCGCTCTCTATTAAAATACTGGATGATCAAGGGTGTGTGGGTTAGAATTTAAGTGTGACATTAATTAGGTTAATCATGAGGGGTGTGACATTAATTTTTAACATTAATATAATTTGTATTTATGTAATTCATGTTTTGTGTGTTATGTATAATGTATACTGTGTTACATCTGTGTCCCGAAGGCCAAAGATGAATTTCTCCATTAGGAGACAATAAAGGCTAATCCAATCCAATCCTATTTTATTGTTGCAGCCATTAATTTAAAATAAAAATGTTGTTGTGGCAGTACCCTTAGTTATTGTGCATTTTGTCTTCCTGTTACAACTGACCCCAGTATGTGCTACCCCAGTGGTGGGGTAGGTTGTAACAAAAGGCCACCTTGTATTCATGATCATCTCACAAAGTCTGTGATATTTTTGAAGAAATTTAAATTGTTGCAATTTGTAGTAGACAAAAATGGGTACTTTGCCTAAAAGTTTTAGACGTGTAGCTAAAAAAAAGAGGTAGTTTTAGTTAATGAGAAAAAAAGTGTTACAACCGTCCCCGGTCTCCCCCTACTTGCATTCGTTTTCCCTTATTTTACCCCTAATTTCAAAACGAAGAATAAACGGTTGTTGTATTTTTAAAACGCAAAGTTGAACACCAACATTTTAGTTTTGCTGCGCTATATACATCTAGACAAATTTTCAGATATTTGTTTGACCTTTTGCCCCTTTAAATCATTTAAAATATTCACAAATTAATAAGGGAACAATGTAGATGTTACTGGTTTTCTAAGGCCAAATTAGAACATGGAAATGATATTTTTCCCGCAGTGCTGAATGAGAAGAGCCATGACCATAACCAAAGGGGATGTATAGGTGAGTTATAGGCTTATAATAAATGCGTCTGAAAAAAATAACGAGCTAAAAACATATATATCCATCTCCGGATGCACCTTAGTGAGAAATGCACCTTTCGTATTACATAATCAGAAGGTATTAGCTTACGATTCGAATTTGTTCTTTTTAAAGTGGACATTTCAAGCTTTTGTTTCAGTTCTCGCGCTCCAGTTCACGAAGATCAAGCGCGCTTGATTATTTTATTTTACAAAAACACAACGTTTTCTGGTTATTGTGACATTTCGCAAATAAAAGTAGTTACGAATAATGTATTATTATTTTCTGTATGACCAGAAATGATAGAGTATTTTAACCCCTTAACTGTCACCCCCACTTTTGGGTATTTACATGAAAATGCAGTGGAATACACTACGCTTTGGAATACAGACATAAGGTTGGTCTTTTTTGAAAGAAGACACCTGGCACATTATTGCTGATGTGGAATAATTTAAAAAAATAATTTTTCTAAAAGTTATTAAAGTTTAAGTTTATAGTTATGAAATTTTGCTGTAATATTTATTTTATTCTATTAATTATATATATATTAATAAATATAGGTTTCAGCCTAAAAATGCTATAAATTAAAAGCTACAAGTCTAACAGAATTGTGTTTAAATTTGCAGATTGATATTTTAAAAATTGAGGTTTCTGTGAGACTTTTAGTTGCCACACCACAAATGGCCACTAGGGCCACCTTGTTCATTGATGATTTCCAAAGGTCACTTAGTTGCTTGAAGTGACATCTGACACCACAGCACAAACACACACACACACACACACTCAGAGAGATGGATACATTACTTTTTTTTACTTTTATCCACACTTTTCACACACATTTTTACTTTTCTATACAAATTGTAACTGAAACATGAATAAGAGTAGTAAATAATGAAAGAAAGAATAATGAAATAAAAATACTGGAAAATAAATATCAAACTTTTTTAAAATTTTTCAACTATTTACAAACTTTTTACAACTATATACAATTTTACACAACTTTTGAACACTACAATCTATTTACATCATGCCAATAATTGAAGCAATCTCGTGTTGCTAGGAAACAGAAGTAGGATGTACATCCCTGGCAGAACACAGGCGTTTTCCGATGGCACACTTGGCATCTTCGCCTGGGGTCATCACTGTAAATTGGCCTGTGGCAGGCATGGCCTGAAGGTTCTCCTGTCACCTGAGGTGCTGGAGCAGGAGGAGCTGGAGGAGCTGGCTCACTTGGAGGCATCCAGTCTGCAAGCTCCATGACCAAATCCTCACGGAATTCCCTCTGTGATTTTGCTCTTCTGTTCTGAGCAGCAGCCAACTGCTGGTGCAGGATGAAGGCGTTTACCACCGCAATGTCTACAAAGTGGTAGAAGATCGAGCGGTACCACTTTCTGGTCTTTCGGAGTACTTTGTAGTACCCGACAAGGGCATCAGAAAGATCAACTCCTCCCATATACCTGCGCGGAAAAAATAGAATACATTTCAAATCTAAATGCAAATCTAACCAGTAAAATATGCACAATCATTTGCACAATTTTTGTACACAACACCACTAAAATAAATTCAACTCACTTGTTGTAATCATGCACTGCAGTAGGCATAGGGACAGTGAGCTCTGTCCATCCTCCAGCTCTCGTCTTCACCCTCCTCCGTACAGTGTGATCTCCATCTGCTGAATGGAAGGAAGAGCACATGAGCACCTCCCTGGTGTCCTTCCACTCAACAAAGAGGAGCCCGTTGTCACGGATCCACCGCATACTCCCACGGGGAGCATTTCTGGGCAACTTGTCTACTGTAGTTTTTGGGAAGCCCACCCGGTTGCTCCGAATGGTCCCACAGGCCCAGATGCCCTTCTGGAGGAGGTCATTGAAAAGTGATGGGCTGGTGTAGAAATTGTCTACATACAGCTTGTAGCCAGTTCCCAGCATCCTCTCATCCACCAGCGCCATCACAGATTCATAACTTAGCCCCTTACTTGGTCCATTTTGAGCTTCAGGAGATTTCCCTTCATAAATGAAAAAATCCCAAGTGTAGCCATGGGCTGAATCAGCCAAAATGAAAAGTTTGTACCCCCACTTTGTTGGCTTCTCTTTTTGGTACTGTTTCAGCCCAATTCTTGCTTTGGATGCCACCATCCTCTCATCTACGGCGATATTTTGATGAGGGTGAAAATAGCTCTTGCAGGCATCTCTTATTTCCTGGTACACCGGCTTCAATTTGCCCAGGCGATCATAGGCCGGAGTCCCCTTCATTTTCGCATTCTCAGCATCCATCTTAGGATCGCTGAGATGCAGTGCCCCTGAAATGGCATGAAATTTCCTGCCAGACATGACAGTGGCAGGAAAGCCAAATTTGTATATCCTGGACCCACTCCAGTAATTCCAAATTGCTGGTACTTTTACCAGACCCATGTAAGATGACCACTGACATGTAAGCGTAGAGATCCTTTAGGGACATGTCCTGCCATGGCTTCCTGGTTGTGTCTTGGTGCTCAGCTGCATAAGCATTTGAGTTTCGGATTATCGTCTGACACACCGTAGTAGAAAAGAACTGCTGAAACAGTTCCAGAGCGCTGTATATCTCGGTAGTTAGAAGCTGAGGGCCAGGAGTTCGAGCCGGTCGAAACACAACCTCAAGTGGTGGGATGTCAGGTTCATCTGAGCTGTGCCATCTTGCCTCAGTTGTAGCTGAAGAAACAGCAGGTTGAGTACCTCTTCCTCTTCCTCTGCTTTGCCCTCTTCCTCTGCTTTCCCCTCTTCCTCTGCTTTCCCCTCTTCCTCTGCTTTCCCCTCTTCCTCTGCTTTCCCCTCTTCCTCTGCTTTCCCCTCTTCCTCTGCTTTGCCCTCTTCCTCTGCTTTCCCCTCTTCCTCTGCTTTCCCCTCTTCCTCTGCTTTCCCCTCTTCCTCTGCTTTCCCCTCTTCCTCTGCTTTCCCCTCTTCCTCTGCTTTGCCCTCTTCCTCTGCTTTCCCCTCTTACTCTGCCTCTCCTTCGGCCTTCTTCACTAAACCCACTGAACATAGATGTAGCTGATGTGGTTGAAGATTCAGACAAGTCATCACCATCATCATCCGAATACCTATTGCAACAATACAGTACAAACTGAATATAGCATAAAACTTACATATTATGTGCAGCAATGCAAACTGAATGTAGTAAAAACTAATATGGTACATACTACAAAATAGTACAAATTGAATAAAGCATTCAACTAATATGGTACATGCAACAATATAGTACAAACAGAATAAAGCATAAACCTAACATAGTACATACATGCATAATTCAATTATATATAGATATAAATGTATAATTATCATACAATTATATGTTTACATCATATTTACATATAACCAAGTAAAAAAATTAGTAAAGAATGTGTAATAGAATAGAAGAAAAATCACTCACCGTTCTAGGGTTGAATCTGACATTTCCTCTGGCAAAAGCTGGTCTGGTTCATCATCACTTGAATGATGATTTGGCTCATCATTGCTTGAAGGATGATTTTGCTCATCATCACTTGACATAAAAAGCTCTTCAACCACTTCTAGCAGTGTAAAACGCTTTTTAGGCCTCTGTGGATCCATCTTGTGAGTGTGGCAGTGGAGAATGAGAGTGCAGTTTGTGTGCTTTCTGCTCTGCACGTTTATAAACATTCAGCAGCATTTCAAAACAGGTGGTTGATTGTGATTGGCACGTGTTCGCAATTAGACCTAAACAAAGTTTCTATTGGATAACACTGGTGCTTTCAAAGAGGTGATTTGCCGACTGATATGCTGAAAGCAAAGGAGCCTTAGTAACAGGTATGACAGCTCTGTTTGGCTACTGAGACTGTCTTACCTTGCTGTTATTGGACATAACATTGATTGTGAAGGTGGGCTGTTGCTGGGCAGAAGACTCTACCAATATAGCAATTAGTAGCAAATCAACACACACAAAAAAAATATTTTATTACAAAATGAACATAATAAGTATAACTATACTAAAATTATTCTCATTCAAAGCGAATACACATGAACTATGAATATATAGATGGATATTCTCTATTTTTATAATATTATTTTATCAATTTTAATGGACAAAAACTAGAATGTATGTTTTATTATGAAAATTTAGCATAAAAAAAGAAGTTTCAATGATTAAAAGTGGGTGCATCAACTTTTTGTGACAAAGGTCAGAATTTCTGTTATGATGCAGATTTTTTGAGGTGCACTCTTGTCATAAATTCCTCAATTACTCTTCCTACATAATTTGTAACTCAAAACAGGGGTAGAATATCTATTCAGAAGTCTTAGACCTTTCCAACGATATATAATTTGTCATAATTAGATTAGGATTTAATAGAAATATAGTGAAGTAAAGTTAGGCGTCCCGGTACCGGGACGGTGACAGTTAAGGGATTAAGTTGTTTGTTGATAGGAATGCACCTGCCCCGCTGTCTGCCGTCCAGTGCGCCTCCACACTCCGTCCATACACACACTTGGATATTCGTCAAAATCGTGTGTTTATTTGTGATAATCTTAGCCCTATTATTATTATTGTCTAACATGTACTATGAATGAAATGTGCCGAATTGCTTTGTTCCTTTTTTGGATAAAAGCGTCTTCTACATATGTAGCCTAATAAATGTTATAATAATGATGATCATTATTATTATTATTTGCTGGCATGGACCCCAAACATACGGCGTCTTCTAAGGTGACTTTTCACACAATTCTGACTTTATAACAGGCAATTGCTGATTTATTTCATTTTATTTATTTATTTTATTTATTGATTCGCAAGCCGGTTGTGCCCGAAGGAGGGCTCAGTATCCAGTGTATATGGATCAGGTTCGTCCTCCTCCGAATCACAATCTGTAAGTATTATTAATAATGTTTGCTGTTATGTTTTCTGTAGCATGCACACTATAGTTATATTGTGTTGTGTGTGTTGTGTACACTCCGCGCAGCTTCTAAGCAGGGTAAAGTTAGTTTTGTTTTTGATATTCACCAGACATTCATTGAAAAATGGCAATTACCTCCTAAACTACTTAGCCAAATATGACTTCGCTCTATATAATAAGCACTGCCCCTCAAAAGCCGCCGCAATGTGAGTTTCGCCGGGAAAGATTGCTCTTGACGCGAGTAAGGGACCGTGTGGAAAGTGCACTTTTTCTGACACGTTTGTTCAAACACTATATACAATTTTCAACACTTGACGAGCTATAATCCTGGTTATGGCCGTTCCGTTGCCGACAGTCTCTGTCTACGGTTTACCAATAACAACTGACTGGGTCATTTGAACAATCGCCGCAGATTCGCGTCACTCAAAGGAGCTGTTTGGGAAAATGAATCGTCGAACGAATCATTTGGGAGTCGTTGAGCAAATCAGTTAAAAATAAATGCATATTATAAGACAAATAAAGTGTTTTTTATCCTTGCATGCAGCATGTTAAACTGTTTTTGGGAACTCCTAAAACAAAAATAGGAACATTTCAAATGCTATGATAGGGGCTCTTTAATAATAATAATCTCAGAATATTTGAGATGACCAATAAAATCAAAGTAGGGTGGCTTTGTATTCACAAAAGCTGCTGAGCGTGAATTTTAGCAGAGCGACTCAACGCTTCAGTTTAGTGTGAGTTAAGATGCAACCCAGATAGCAAACTGACATTGAATCAACGTGGAAACGACGTCTCTCATGACATTGAAACAACGTTGATTTTGCTCATCGAATTAACGTTGAACCAACGTCAGACGCGGCATTCTTCAAAGCTAAATGAAAATCGAAAATTAGTTTCCTTTCATAACGTTGAAACAACGCGTTGATTTCAAGTTGATTTTCCGTTAGTTTTGAAAGAATGACGCGTCTGACGTTGGTTCAGCGTTAATTCGATGAGCAAAACAATGTCAGATCAACGTTGTTTCGATGTCATATTTCCACGTTGATTCAATGTCAGTTTGCTATCTGGGAAGTAGCAAAAACATTTCATATTTGACCGTTTTTTAGGTCATAAAAGTTAAACGGATGACAAAAATAATCAGGCAAACTAATAAACTTTTGTCTGATTTTGCCATTTTGAACCGAAAATAGATGTATAACGTGACTCGTGTAATGTAGCCTAATTCGTTTACCATCATTGTGAGGAATGAAATGAATCAGTAGGGCTGATTGGATTATCATCAAGATGTGAATGAGACTGTTACTGGGGAAATGGGCTGACCCCTGTACTTCATAGAGGGAAAACGAATGTAATACAGTATAAAATGCTTGACCTGAGATGATTTCGGGGTTCATTCTGACGCCGGTGAACCCCAGGTGCTCCGTGTACCTCGCCACTGCTATGCTGTAATAAACTACATTTGTAAGATCTTCGACGTCTGCATCAGTTTTGCAACACCTCCAGGCAACTTTTTTAGGTTATGCAACTGCTATTCACTTGAATGGGGAACTCAACAAATATTGTAAAATTATCAATAAAATCTAACACAAACTGTGTCATAAGATCAAATAGAGTTAAACTCAATTTTGTTTAGATTTAGGCTATTGCTGTGTATGTGCAGCAGTTCTCCTTTGGGACCAGAGCTTTGAGTTCTGCCCATTAGTGGAAATAATATTGAATTACTTTATATTTGAACTGTCAGTTTACAGGAATTACAATTTATACATGATCATATAATGTATTATGTACCTGTATGAAAAAATCTTTATATTGTATAGCCTCCTATATAAATGTTTTAGTTTAGAAGAATGTTGAACTTTGCTTACTGTTATGTTTATCCCTTTAACATAACTAGACTCGCAGTAACGTTTAAGATGCTTCTGTTTACTGAACAAGTGTCGCACACAGACGTTAACACATCAATCCGCTGATTTACCACACATTCATAGCGGAGCGTAACACGACACAAAGTATTAAATGCGCTGAAAGCTTATATCACCTGGAGCGAGTGACCGGCTTAAGATGGCGGCTCCACGGCTCGTCCGTCCGTGCCCATAGGCAGCAGCGGTCCGTAGCAATATTATTACGCTGCAGACTCGGAGCCTGCATCTACAGTCCCCCACCGAGAGTCCCGCATTCACAGACCCCTCATTTTTCAAACACAGCGCCTCCTGCTGTTCAACAGATCGAATAACACCCGCACACAGAGTACAGTGCACGATTATCCAAATGCAATTAAAAACAATAGGATGCAATATTACGGTCTCCAAATAAATTATCCAATATATATTTGTGTTCCCTGCTTAATGCATGTGCCAAAAAAAACCTAATTGTTACTGATGGAAGGGATACAATTACAGATTGAACTATCTTCTGAAAAATAGTAGGCTATATTATATTGATACAATGTTTTTTATATTTTTTTTTATGCAAATTCCAATTTTTCTTTCAGTTCAACCTATAATGGTCTAATTAACATTACCATGCTAACATTACAATATCTGTTTTTTGATATTTTGAATGCGAAGCAAAACAAATCAGAATAGAGAAAACACCAATAATAAACAATTCTGTACTTTATTTAATGATCACCTATACATCATCTTGCTGTAAAGAAAAAAGGAAGAAAAACTGTGTTCTTGACTTTACTTTTCGTCTTCAATTGCAAAAAAAAAAAACTCATTTATAAGTCGCTTTGCATAAAATGATATGTTGCTGATTCGGCAGGGGTAACTCCATCGATGTATGGTGTCTTGTGATGTTTAAAAAAGAAAAAGATGTTTGCAAATGTTAGTTACCATGTTGCACTGCTCTGTTGAAGTGTCCCTTGAGATGTTTATGAACTTTGGACAACTTTGTGGGTTTGAAATATATGGGGGCACAAAATGGACAGTGAAAATAACTGCAGCATTTATGACATATCTACAAAAAGTCCAAGGTTAAAGGCTAACGTACACGTAAGCTATCTAAATATTTTCGGGGGGAAGAGGGCGAAAAAACATACATTAACGGCTCAAATCTTGTTACAAACTATCTTTACAAATATTAAATGGACTATGTTGTATCGATGAGCTAAATTAGTTTTATTAAAAAATAAATCAAACGAGTAGGCTACTACGATTCGCTAAATAAAATTGAAGATAGCCTACTCACGTTTTGGCTTAAGCTCTTCACATGTTCTTAACATGTTTATCCGATACAATTTGATAGGAGGCGCTGTCTCGAAAAACGAGGGGTCTGAGAATGCGGGACTCTGGGGGTCTCCAAGTCTGCAGCTATAGGCGTCTGTCTATGGTTACGCGCGTCATTACGTCATTGCACATACAGTTTCAGTTTCGGTTTTCAACACGATTGAGTGTGTGCTCTCCGTCCACACTAGTGTTTTCAGGCGTTTTCTGACGTTTCAGTGTGGATGAGAAACTTCTAAATTCACTTTACTGCGCATGCGTGAAACTTCACAAAAGCTCACTGAGACAGAGGGGAAAATAAATAATAAAGTTATCGCGCAATTCTTCTAACGGGATCATTTAATTTAGCAAAATATCTCACCATCACTGATGCATCCAGGTCGCATTCAGTCACCGTATTTGGTCTAAAACGCAACTCCTGTTTTGCCGCAGGACTGCAAATGTGAGTACATTATCTGTCATCTTTGCAGTACTGTGCTATGAAGAATAGCACATAAGTAACATAGAAAGTAACATATTTTAGCAACAGTGTAAAAATGAACTACATATAACAGGCACAATACCGATACATGAATATCTACATGGATCACATGACTAAACTTAAATCATCGTTTTGAAATACCTCCGGTTTCATTAGCCATGTATCCATCGACACTTTTTTATCCGAATTAAGTGATATCGAATGAAAAATGCCTTATGGAAACAGTAAAATTCGATGAAATTTCATGAAAATCGACTCAAATGAAATACGTTCGGTCTCATCGGATTTTCTCTTGATCGATATACGGCTAATGCGATAAAAGCTGATGGAAACGTTATTTGCCGAATAAATAATGAATTGCGATTAAGTTTTATGCCCTTTTATGGTTGCAACACGTCAGAAGACGAGTTCATTTCCGGCCAGTCTGTTTGCGCACACATGGCGGATGTCAACAAAGATGTAGACAGATGTACAGTAAGTTCCCACACCACAGTCACCTCCGCTGTCGTCGGGCATTTACGTGCATCGGCATCATCATAGCAATGTTTATAGCGTCGTTGTTTTCTTAGGTTAGTTTTGCTTGTTTTTACGTGGCTTGGTTGAATTGTAATGTATAATGTGGTCTGTTATTTGTAGTTAACAGACTGCGGGCGGCGCTGCTAGTATAACACACCGCTGCCATGGACGCAGTTCAGAGACGGAACAGACTATTTTCTTTAGCAGAAGAATACTCGTTTTTAAATCAATAAACTCGTTTTTAAGTCAATATTTTGTGTCAAGTTATTTATTTATTTATTTATTTGGTTGACGAGCAGGATAATATATAGCGAGGCGGTTGTTATAGCGAATACAACCGCTTCAACAACCGCCTCGCATACATTATATCGGTAACACTTTACAATAAGGTTCATTCGTTAACATTAGTGAAATGCATTAACTAACATGAACTAACGATGAGCAATGCATTAGTGACATTGTTTATTAATCTTTTTTTAATCTTAGTTAATATAAAAATAGAGCTGTTCATTGTGTGTTCATGTTAGTTCACAGTGCATTCTTAACTAATACAACCTTTGATTTTAATAACGTATTAGTACATTTTGGAATTAATATTAACTAAGATTAATAAATGCTGAAGAAGTATTGTTCATTCTTAGTACATGTTAACCAGAGCCGGCCCGAGCCTTTTGGGGGCCCTAAGCAAAATTTGATTTGGGGGCCCCTCCCACGACGCGGAGTCACCTTTGACGATTATTGACAAAATTTCACGCAATAATGATAGATTATATTACATTATAGATTCGTCTCCCGCGAATTTGTGGAACGTTTTGATAAGATTTCGTGAAGATACTGGACAAAGAGTGTTTTGACACCAATGCAAGTAGGCTACATTTTTTCATCATAGGTTTTTTCTTGGTTTCTGAGTTGGGTGTAACGTTATACGTTTCCAAATCTAACTTTATATTACCCTAATCACTGGCGACTAAAACACAGCACCGTTTTGAAACGTGTCAGCAATTCTGGCAGCGTTAGCTAGGCTTAAAATATGTAATTCACAGCGGGGTTAGTTCTAGCACTGTGTTGCAAACAAGCCGACAAGTGTACAGTCCCAGTGACTATCAAATGAAAACAGGGAGACACACAACTTTTCAGGTTTGAGTATTTTTTGACTTTCACAAACAATGTAGGATTTTTTATTTAGTTTACTATACATTGATCACTTGTTTCTTTATAAAAATATAGCCTTTTTGATGAAATAAACCCTTTAAAATTGTATTTTAAGCTCGTTTTTATTATTATTACTGTTATTATCATTATCGAAAATAATAATTTTACATGCAGCTGCCACACACGTGTAATTCAATTGCAATTATGATATTGGATTTTATTTATTGCTTGCAAAACTGTGCAGCCCTTTCATAACTCATGATATTTTATCCATAAGAGAAGGATGATTGGATGAGGGATGTATGTATGGATATCTATCTTCAAATGTATAAATATCCCCATTGTTTCCTGCAGCCATGGCGTCTCAGCCCATTGAAGTGGCGGCTCTAGGAAGACCTCTGTTTCCTGGTATGCTGTATGACTGCCGCAAGGACACCTTCATTCCAGGTGGAGTACAGTACCTACTAAAATCATTTTTATTCCCCCCTTTCACCCAAATATGAATCAACAATGTGGTAATTTAGAGATGTAAGATAAAAACCTCAACTACAAAATTAGTAGTCTTGTAGAATACAAAATTGGCATGTTGATGTTTTTTCTTTATTTTACCTGGTGATGACCCATTGAGATCTCTTTTTGACCACTAACAAGGCTCAAAATAGCCCCACACTCACACAGTAACATAATGAAAGTGTCCCTGCATGCTGAAGCATTGAGAACTGTGTAAGTGTACAGACCGTTTAATAAGAAGATACTTTATAAAGACCAGCCATCTTTGGAAATCAGTCTCGACAAGTCGAACCACGAACGCCGTTTTTACAGTTCAGCTCACTCAGCACGTTGTTCGTGGTTTGACTTATCGAGACTATTTTCTAAGATGGCTCCTGTCTATATACACGAAGTGAACTGTCTTCATAAAGTATCTTCTTATTAAACGGTCTGTACATTTACACAGTTCTCAATGCTTCGTTTTGCATGTAGGGACGCTCATTATGTTACTGCGTTAGTGTGGGGCTATTTTGTAGGGCTGTATTCAACCAAAGAAATCCTTAGTCGACCAAAGTCGAGTCCTGCTCGACGATTAGTCGACTAAAAAAAAAAAAAAAAAAAAAAAAAAAAAACCGTGATGTTTTGATTAAACATTTTTTAAACAATTGTCATTGAGCATTTATAAAACAACAACGAAAAAACATCACAAATAAATAAAACTATAATAATAATACAATTCTTTGAAAATTAAGTGATTTTTTTAACTGCAAAAAGTGAAGAGCTCTGTCCTAGGTCTATAGTACAGTCCCAATCGCGCACCTGATCACACCACACGCTGCAAAAAATATAACTGCTATCTGCCACATAATGAAAAATCCCAACAAAAGCTCTCGTTTATACAGGCTTTATATTCTTCTTTACTTTCAAAGCTATGGGTTAACTTTAGTCCTGACGATCAAGGCGTTTTAAACAACACACAAAAAACCCAAATAACTTAAAAACAATCCTAATAATAGGCTGTAGGACCGCGTATAGGTTTATTTTCGTTTTGTTGCATTATTTAGGCTATTTTCAAATGCGTCAAGTGTACAAATAAAAACGAAAACATTAAGAAAACACAATCTATTGAGTCAGCATGATATAGCCGTTAAAAGGCTGCTTGCGTCTTTTGCGCGCTCAAGTTCGATTTTAAATGTAGGCGCGCGACTTGTGCGCTCATAATGGAGCAACACGATCGCCTCCCTCCACAGTCTTGTCGTCTTTGTTTTAAAATGCAGCCAGACAAAAGATTTATATTTCCTGGACATTTTGTCGACTAAAGCCAAAACAAGCAGCGTTCTAACTGAATGAATACAGCATCCCTTACCGAGCGAAGCAGCAGCCAGCCAGCCACAGGTGCGGTTCCCGAGTGTATTATGTGTGTGCGCTAAACTGTGGCGCAGTTACAAAAATAGCCTAAATTAAAGCATTTTAAAGTTGGGGACAAAACATAGGCTAATTATATTTAGAATACAGTAATAAATAACTGCTTATAAATGAATAAATATCAAGGAGTAAGTAATTGAAAAATTCCTTCTATTGGTAAAAAAAAAAAAATGCAACTGGTCGACCAATAAGAATGTCAGTCGACCACGACGGCATCGACCGATTAGTCGACTAAACGACTAAAGTTGACAGCTCTACTATTTTGAGCCTTGTTAGTGGTACAAACTAGCAATTTCTTTTTACTTATTATATGCCCCCATTATTAGTGTTATACGCTAAACAGTTTTTAGAAATAAAACTTTTTACATTCGATTATCATATTAAAGAGTTTCACCGCAAACAAGGTGCCAGACAGATAACACTTGACAACCCAAAGAATAAAATGTCTGCACACTTGAGTCCTTCAAGCAAGATTTAATGCCAAGCTTTCGGTGATACAACCATCCTCAGGGCATACACAAACATAATGTTACATTCCATTTGACTATGTTCAACTACACCAGGACAATCAACAGTGATAACCCACACCTGCAGAGGCCAGGTAGGGACAGTTGTAGTCCACTGGTGGGAGTTGTAGTTTTTTAAGGTGATCAACCCTGACTTCTTCACTTAAGTGAAAAAGTGAAAAATACAAGAAACAGACGTAAATATATACAAAAGGTATACACAAATATAGGTGCATATACAAATATATCCACACATTCATTCCTGCTTACAATATAAGTACACGGAGACTGCAAAAACATCAGAAACACCGTCATAAACTGCAGTATTCAAGACTTAAATAAGGAACAAAAAAACAATACAGCTATGACTAAAGCATGACACTCATGTCAAAGTCCACATTTAAACCTTTAGGATGTAAGGCGTCCAAGGTATGGATCCAGTAAAGTTCCCTTTGGCATAGTACTTTATCAGTATTGCCACCTCTAGGCAGGGGCGGGTCCACGTGGTGGCCAATTCGATTAAAAAGAAGTAAAGATATAGGGAGTTTCTTTCAAAGAAAAACAAAACAAAACAAGTGTAGAGGCAGAAGCAACTGAAGAAAATGTCAGGCAGCAAGAAAAAATTGTCACTGGAACAGAATCAGCCAGCAAGGAATCAACAGGCCAGACAGACAGTGATTAATTATTATTATTTGAAAGAGATTGTGAATAAAACTAATGTATATTGTAATGGCAAAACTAATTAAAAGAAAATAGTTGACCTTGTTTCTGCTTCTGGGGTTTTAAAATTGCTCATTATTAAAATTGCTTTTATTTTATAAACTTGTTAGTTTTATAAAAACACTAAAAATAATAAACACTGGCTCTCAAATTGAACTTAATGGATATATACAGTGATGCCAAAAAACTAAATTAATAAAAAATGTGCTTTATTACTACATTTGTTTACAAGTAACTTTATTCAAGTTAAAAAAATAATGCAATCAATAGGATTTACGTAATATACTGTAGAATTTAGCTTTTTTTTGGTGGCCACCCCATTTGGAGGCAGTGCCCCAGCATGGCCCCCCCCACTAAAAATGCTCTAGACACGCCCCTGCCTCTAAGTAATTTAATCTGCTCAATTCCCTGAAAACGGAGAGAAGAAACTGAATGACCACACACTGTAAAGTGACTGGCCACAGGGTAGTTAGGGTCAGCACGTCTAATCGAGCTTTTATGCTCACTGATCCTCTGCTTCAAACTACGTGTGGTCTTTCCCACATACACCATATCACAAGGGCATCTTAAAATGTAGATAACATTCTTGCTTGTACATGTAATAATGCCCTTCACATTGTAGCTCTTACCGGATCTTGGATGTTTAAAGTTATAGGTCTTGTGTGTGTTATTACATTGTGCACAATTCCCACAAGGATAGTTCCCATCCCTCAGGGGTGCTAAGAGTGTTTGGGTAGGGGCTGAACTTATACATGCTTTAACTAACCTATTGCGGAGGTTAGGGCCCCGTACATTCAATTGTCATGAAAACAAATCTCAGGGAACAGTTGACTAGGTACCGATGTGTTATTAGACCGAAGGTTCATTTTGTGCCGGAGTTCTCCTTTAAGGGGTCATTTTGTGTGCATTATTAAAATCTGGAACTTTTAAGTAATTGTTATAAATGTTCAAATGGGATAAAGACAGAAAGCTTCAATACTTTTTGGAGCAAATTCCAACACCAAGGAGCAGCATAACTAACAGCAGTCTGACCAAAGAGCCAGAATGTTATCGGAGCGGAGATTGTAAATGGATGAGTCCAGGTCAACAGACTACTAAGATAACTGGGTAAATTACCATTAATGACTTTGTAAATAAAATCTATGCAGACCTAAAGAGCTAAAAACAGTTGCCTCATGAAGACGACATTGATGAGTACGTGCATTGGCATTCGTAATAAACCGTAATACACCATGGTAGACTGTGTCAAGAGTGTGCAGCGTGGTAGAGGCTACATGCCTATAAATAACATGCCCATAGTCCAAGACTGGTAAGAACGTGGCACTGATCAATTTCCGCCTATCTTGGAGAGTAAAACAGGATTTATTTCTAAAATAAAAACCAAGCTTTACTCTCAACTTTCGCATTTATCAGTATGAACTTAGCTTTTCATCAATCCACAGATAGCACTTAAGTAGCACTTGAAAATCTTCGTAGAACTACGAGTGCTCTGGAGTAATCGTACATCCCCAAGTGCACCGTAAGAAGACAGAGTTATGAGGTCACCTGCAGGACAACCGGCAGATTACACTTTTATCTAGATTCAATAGATTACACTGCAACGTAAGTAGCCTATAATATATAGGTTTTGATTGTGTTCACTTTGTTGTACTCGTGTTTTGTTTAAATGGATAAATTAAATAATTAAAAAGGGAAGAAAAAATAGAAATACACATCTAAATTAAACGAATGAACAAAAAAAATCATAAAATAAGTTATCTGGGAAATATGCTTTAAAGACCGGGCAAAATAGGGATGAATTAAAAAAAAATCTGTCAATGACTTGCTGACGTGCACGAAAACCAGCCATGCATTTCTCGTCGACCTCCTTCCCTGATCTTTGAACACGTTTGCAGTTTATTTGCAACATGTCCTTCCAGATGTTTTGTTTTTCCTTATTTGTATGGTGTCCTTTAAATCTCTTAAAAATAAAATCTTTTGAAGGACATTAATTTGATCTTTTCTCATGTTTTTTTTTTTTTGGTCAGCCTGTATAGGTGTTTTATATCCATATAGACTTGTCTTGATTACTAATCCACAACAAATGACGATTATTAGGTTAAACGTCCAGAATACGACTCCACATAAGGTTATATTTCAGCACTTCGCGAATGGATAGCGACGCTTAAGTAGCACGTAGAACGCATTCTCGCGCGTTCATGTTAAGTGCATTTTTGGGAAACGCACGTGGAATTGCTGCGATCGTTCGTAACCTTGCACGTAGAGAGCGCTCTTTAGAGCTAAGATACATCGTTATCAGGGAAACCC